TGTGTTGAACAATCGGGAATATGTTGGTGGGACAATTGGGAAGTTTGAATGTGGGACAATTGGGACTTGGTTTGAAAGTGCTTAATTTGTTTTTATAGTGGGTAGGCTAGCAGATAATTACAGGCTTCTAATGTATTTAACTTATAGAATATGGGAAAAAAAACATGAACAATATAATAATATTTACATAATTTATTTTGCACATAGTAGGTACAATTGAAGTATTATCAAATATAGAAATATGATATGAAGTCGTAAAATGTAAGTCTTAGTTGCATGGTTTTTTCAATTAGTTTTTATTGGCTTTGAACTAGCTGTCAGTAAATGTGAGTACTCTCAGATCTGAACTTAGTGTCTTGTTGTGGGGATGTATAAGTACCCAGCCACGTCCACTCTGTGTTTTTGTTAGATGTATTTCTGTTTGTACCCATCTGATGATACAAACCCGGTTTATTCTTATGCTGTACTGTTACAACACAGTCCCAGGTTAGTAGGAGGGTTGGCGTCTTCAGATAAGTTTAACCCCGCCACATTCTGCAGTATGGGCTTTGCTCACAGTTGAATGCTGTATGGTGACATATAGTTGCTAATTTATGTGTCATTTGGTCTCTTGTGGAGAGTTGTCTAATAGTCAATCGTACCACATCTTCAAATTTTGATGGAAGTCTGGTTCTTCTTTATAGTTGGTGACGAGTCCTGTTGACTGCACTTTATAGCGGAATATTGGTCAACTAATATACTTTTATAAAATTAATATCAAATATTTAATAAATAATTCTTGTATATTTAGCAAAACAAACAACATTTACGTTGTTTATCTAAGAACATTTTGCGTCATAAAATAATGAGGGACAATCAGATCTTTTCATGTGGGACAATCAGAACTCTAAAATTTTAAAAAGTGGGACAATCGGGAATAAACCATAAAAACTTATTTAACGAAATTTAATTTATTACATCATATTTTTTTAATCCCACCAGAAACTACTTCCTTTGATCATCTTGCTTTATTTTTATTTTAAATATTATATATATTGTATATAGTTATATAAATATATGTATTAACAGTTCCTAAATTGATGAACAGTTCTAGGTTTGTAAAGACTAGGCCGAGTATTGTTTAGACTAGGTCGAGCATGGTTCAGAATTGGTCGAGAATGGTTAAGACTATGTCGAGTATGGTTCAGACTCGTTTTAAATGGTTAAGGATTGAGTACAAGTTAAGACTGTTAAGTATAGTTTAGACTACAGTCGAATTATATCAAGTAAATTTCAGACCAATTCAGACTGGTCGAGTAAAAATCAGTACAGTCGAGTACTGATAAAGGCCATTTCAGACTTTTAGTGGTTTGTAGTGCAATATAGATAAATCTTAATTTCATAAACATGTTTTGTCGAAATATTGGGGCTGACAAAAAGGCGCAAGCCAGGACCAACCGTGCAAGACCCTCATGGGTAGTCAAGGAACTTAAACACCCCCATTTAGTAGTTGGGGCTGCTCATGTGATACATGTAGGTAATGACCAATAAGAGATTGATGCATGTAAACATTTCCAGATGGTCTAATGTTTCATTTCAACGACTTTTCCTTCACACGCTTACACACCTGGTGTAAATATTTTTGTTGTTTGTAGATAATGAACACATTAAAGAGATGAAACTAGCTTGTTAATGTTTCAACAACAACAAATCAAGATGAAGGAATTACGGTCATGCTCATTAACTTCAGATTGTTCCTACCTCAAGGCTCAAAGCTGGTTTAAGATGAATATTATACAGTGATGATGCACTTTAAATAATCTCATATTTTTTAAAAGATGTCAGAACTCAGAACAGTGTGGAATATTGTTAAAGATAAATATATAATTATATACCAAATATGGCTTAAATGTACAATGCTCTCAATATTTATGGAAATAAAAATGAGGTACATATCTATTACATAGTAAACCATTTGTTATTGGACTGAAAATAATTCCTGTGGAGGCTATAAATATAGAGATATAGAGAGAAGTAACGGATTTTTGTTATCGTTCTACAAAAAATTAAAATTTTCTGTCAGTGTAGACTTCAAGAACCAGTCTGAGAGAACTTTAATTGTAAGAAAATTTTTGATTGGTTGACACAAGTGTATAAAGTGACAAACTATACCATTAAAAGTGAAAACTTACGATAAAGTTTGCAAAACTAATGCGTTGATTTTTCATGCAATATGAATCACGAATTAACGCGTCAGATTTTAAAATCAACGCGTTAAAAGTGATAACCAACTCGTAAATAGGAAAACTATAACGCGTTAAAAGTGAAAACCAACGTGTTAAAAGTGAAATCCATCGCGCTGAACATTTAACTCGGTATGTTTATGCCACCAATGACACGAAATGCCACTCATAGCTCATTTTCAACGTACATTGCAAGAATAGTGGAGAAATTCGAAGTCGAATGCAACAACGGGTTGAAATTTTGGGAAGATGTAATGAACAGTTATAAGAATTTTTGATACGAAGTTGTACAGTGTTGTGCAGTAATGCTTTTGAGAGGATTGACATGTTTTAGTTGTCCCTAATAGTGAATCCATAAATTATACCTGTTACAAGCTTAGAACTGGATCATTTTTAGAAGCAACCTTGTAATTGCATTTGATTTGCCTCTATTGATAATAGTCGTCTCATTGCTTATGATTTTATACACGAATTACATATTGCATTTGAAAGGTTTATCTTTTCTGACTTCACTCAGGCCTTCTCTGGATTTTCCTAACATCCAGTTTCAAATACATAGTATATATTCACTGTACGTCCATTCTGACGGTAAATGCCATTCGTTTAACAACCACCTACACAATACCAGGAACTTTAAAAAAGTAATAAAAGGTCAAGGCCAATTTTAATTTTTCAGTTTTGTTTTACTTATTTTCATGTGGTTTCGAAAATATGCACTATAATCGTCGTCAACTAAGAAACAAATATACCATTATAGTCAGATGATAAGCATTGCCTGGAAGTTTTTCATGATATCAAACAACAGTAATTCTTAACTCCGATGCAGCATAGCTATAGCTGTAAGCTTATTCAACAAAGCTCTTACATTTCTGCTACATATCTTATAATTATTGGACAGTGATCATTACATCATTACATTTCATGTAGAATAAAAAGATATATAGTATGGGTAATTCGCCAAAAATTTGAGTCCAGTTACCAAATACAACCTAGGACAGATTTTAAAAGTAATGATGAAAAAAATAGAAGATTATTCCACCATGACCGAAAAGCAATGTCCCCAACCTTTGACAAATAATAACATCGTTATCTATTATGTATTGAGTATACTTACAATTGCTTTACAAAATATATTCGTTATTGTCAAACTGGTAAAAGCTGCGGAGTGTACATTCACCTAATTTCTGATGAAGCAAGTAGCATAATTAGTAATTATTTATTTTTATTGTCTAGAAGAATTGATTACGACTCCATTTAGTATCTTTCGCCACTCTTGTTCATATTCCAATTTGAAATTTTATCTTTTGACCGTTTTTGTTAGGTATATATACTTTTATATTTAAGTACGTGGTCCGTGAATAATCCATAAAATTAGTTCAGTTGCTAAGGTATAAAATTGTTTGCTATGGTATAAAGTCAGTGTATAAGATTTATATTGGCAAACTGATTCTTTTATTTCTAATTTATTATATGTTTCTCTTTTATTATCTATCTTTCAATAATAAAAAAACTTAGTGTTTTATCATTTAAAAAAAACCCATGCTCATGCTGTTTCCGGAGGGGATTGTTGCTAAGGTGTAGATCTGGTTGCTAAGGAGTTTTCTGCTAATTTATCTCTTATTTTCTTTTGTAAGTTTTTTCTAAGGCACATATAGTCTGCACAGATTTTTCTGTGAAATAATTGAAAATTGAAAATAATATTTTTTTCAAAAATCTTTCCAAAAAGGCTCTTCAATTTTATTTATGATTTTGACCAGAACAGGCTTGCTTATTTATATGCAATATACATTTATTGTCTATTTTGTTGCAATTGAAATAATCAATTTAATGTTAGAGAGCTATTTAAGAGTTGTGTTAATTAAAAAGTAGGTCAAACATTGGTTACCATAGCAACAAAGTTACGACAACTATTTTTTTTAAATATGTTTGTTTGGAAACCTTATGCATGGTACATTATTTAACTTATAAACTAAAATGTGCTGAATATTAGAAAATGCCAAAAAAATACACTTGAAAATCATGGAAATGGAGTTTATTTTGGTATTTTTTTGTAGTTTCCATGGAGACGACTACAATCATTAACACATCTTACTAAAAATGAATGAATTATGATTCAAATGAATTAAGATGATCAATTGGTGGATACCCCCATGTCAGCCCTATCTGAAATCACGTGGTCAGTCTGTTATGGGTTATAAGTCTGGTAGCGTTGGAACATTGGAAGCATATGATAAGCAAAATAATACACGAAGTTTTCAATATCGGCCAGGTTATCCCTCAAGCATCGTCCCGTTTCATCCCGAGGCGCTTACCTATTGCCATTTATAAATCTGTATGTACAATATTGTATATTTGTACATATGGAGAAAGTGTTCTTCATTTCGATCGCTAATTGTGTCTTATCTTTTCTACTTTGTTTTACAAATATAATATGTTTAATGCATTTATAATTGGCTATTGTACAGATTATCTGCTTTTTGTAACAAAAACGAAAGAAAACAATTAAATATAACTAAAATAGAAAACAAACAAAACGTTTAATATTTGTATGGTTGATGGGTCAGACACGTGAGTAAGTATAAGATATATTGTCAGGGAAATACAAGTTGTCTTGTTCTTTGATTGATGAAGAGTCTTCCCCACTAGTCATAAATAGTGCTATAGTATCATCCGTAGTACATTATGTAACGTCATTGTGCACATAAAAGGTTAATTTATATCCGCATGTGAACAACTTTGTAACGAGAAACGGTCAATGTAGACGACAAAGCTAGTATAATGGATAATACAATTGATACTATTTTTGATACATACGCAGAACCTATTGACGGGGTAGGATATACACATCCTGCAACCATTTCAGATCATCATCGAAGGTTTGACGACTTAGAACCAACAAGTTCCTATGAAAACTATTTATCTGTTATTGCTGATAACAAATCTCGAATCAAATTATGGATAGCGTTCACTACCGTTACTTTATTAGCATGTGCATTGACAGCTGGGCTAACGTACATTGTGATACATTCTAATATCAAAGTGAATATTCCTTCAAAAGAAAACGAAAATAACGGAAATGGAAACCAAGGTTTCCAGATATCAGACAGTTGGACAAAATGTCCAAATGACTGGATGAATTTCGATGATTGGTGTTATAAAGAGTTTTCAGAACGGCGGACATGGTTTAAAGCTCGTGATTATTGTCGTAGTATTGGAACTGATCTTGTTAGTATTCATAATGAAAAGGAAACCAATTTTCTAATCAACAGTTTCACCCAGACTTTTCTGTGGACAGGACTCAGCAATTTAGAAAACAATGGTAAGTATATGTGGAGTGACGGCACGAGTTTGGATTATACTCATTGGAGACCATTAGAACCGAACAACTTAAATAATAACGAAAACTGTGTACACCTTTATCATTCAAACTCTAGAAAGTGGAATGACAACAACTGTTTTATGTCGTTGAGGTTTATATGCAAATTGCAGATTTATCCAAGATGTGGGCATGGTGTGTGGGTATATTATAAGAATTCGTGTTATTCAATTAATACATTACTTGTTGTTACTTTTACAGAAGCCCGTACTCTTTGTAAAAACAATGGTTCAGATTTAGTTATCATTGGGTCTAAAGAGGAATCTAATTTCATAATAAGTCAAACTACAAGGTACCCAGATGCTAATTTCTGGATTGGATTACAGAAACTAAGAAATCAGCCGTACATATGGATAGATGGCAGTCATCCTACGTACCTCATCTGGGGTATAGATGAACCCAAAGCAGATAAGAACTTATGTGTCAAATCATCTACCATGTATGGAAATTGGAATGGTGATAGTTGCAGCAATCAAAATGGTATTGTTTGTGAGAAACAATTACTTAGAAATGTATAAAATTACCATTAGAACTGTTCCAGTTGTTAGAAAACTGAATATTTGCATAAAGTTATAAAGGAACTTGTCTAGTAATTTTCATTGATGCCTATTCGTTTTTATTCGATATCATAACTTTATTTCTTGTTTAGTGACCACAATATGATGCAAAGAAGATACTTACATATTTCATTGACTATCAATTGGATAGGATAATACGTCGTTAAAAATAAGACAACGAATAAACTTGAGCGTTGAGCGTATCTTTATAAGTTGATGCATATTAGATGAAGAAAACAGGTCCGGTTTTCATTCTAGATAGTTAACTCTAATGTACGCTCAAGGTCACATTAACTTATCTGTAAGTATATGTCGTATTATACATACGGAGAAGATATTCTAAAGTTTGAGAAGCTTGTGTCTTATCCGTCATGCTATGTTTCACAAATAAAATATGTTAAATTAAATCTCAGGGATATTTTCTAAAACTGGTCGTTCAATCAACCGGTTAAAGATCGAAAACATTGCTAAATAGATATGCCCTGACATATAATGCATATCTTATGTCAGCCAGTAAGTTAAAGATAATGCATATTGTAAGATTTTTCTTGGCGCATACCATACCGAGGTATGCCAGGTGTCTAATAAAAGACCGACCATAGGAAAGTCTTTCATATGCAATCCTGACACTCCAAGGTGTGGTATACGAAAAGAAAAACCTTATAATATGCATTATCGGGCTTATATACCATAAAAAATGTATTTTGTCTGTAAATATTTGCAGACTTTGTATCCTATTTTATCGATTAAACTTAAGTTGGATATTCTTTCTGTGGTCTTGGGGTTTAAGAACGGCCTACGGCTCAATTTTAATGTGGAATAGAAATCAATACACTGTTAAAATACAAAATAAAATACTCTAACTGCATGAAGCAAGACAAAAATGAATTGTTATGGTGTATGAAAAATACAACTCACATGTAAGTAATTTAGAGTATCAACTTAGTCCCCTATTTCCACCCGCATTACATAGTACGTAGCTGTGATTCTATAGAAAATGATCATTTGATAGAGTAAAAGGTATATATAAATGTAAAAGGTTAAGGACTGGCACGAAAGAGAGCACGATAATGTGTACATGTTACACAAAAAAAGAACATCTATAGGTCAGAGTAATACTATGATTTCCATTACAGTATGAATCAATGGGATTTTAATAGTCCTACAAAAATTTGGTTTGTTTTAAAAGTGTTATGAAAAGTTTTTTTTTTTTTTAATACATCTCAAATAAAGTGTTTTTATTGTAGCGATAAATTAACAAAACTTCACTTTATTTGTTTCGAAAGTTAAAATGTTTTTCAACGAAGATTTTCGGTATTTCAGTCTCATAAATGGAGTAACAGATAGTTCCTGCCTTATACCTATTGAAGATGGAAAATTAAAAATTCAAATCCCAATTGTCAATAACACACGATAAATGTCAAATAAATTAGAATGTTTAAGTATTTATAGTTTATTTTATGCTTTGAAGCAAATTTCTTTGAAACCTGGTATCGTTCGGGTTGATTCTTCAAAAGAAAGACATAATGTTCGGAAAGAAAATAATTCCATATAGGTATATACGTGATGAGTAATGTATTTGTGATTGACGATTTGGACATGGTTGAAATTTGATTTTTTCCCGTAAACCATAAAAAAAATAATTTAAAATAAATATGATCAAAAATATTACTAGTGCACAATATATATATATATATATATGAGAGACAGCTCATATACGTCAGGGTTGTGTTTCTGGACGTAGTCACGGAAATGAAATTTGTAAATTCAAATGTTGATCAAATCTTGATTGTCACACTATTCATATTATAATCTGGGACGCATTATACAAATGAAAGTTGTCATAATTCGAGGTCAACATTTTGCCCGAGAAAATAGATGGAAAAAATATTATGGATAAATCATATGCCATAATTAAAAAAGACTACGAACAAAAAAGAAAGAAAATCGACACGACAAACAACAGTCAACAAAACATTTACGTTAAACTACACAACACGATCCCCACCGAAAAGCAGGTATTTCGAAAAGGTTGGCAGCAACTACTCAACTTGTGACACCCGATATATTACCACTTGCATGTTAAAATTCGACGACAAGTCGCATTCTATTGTGTCATTATCACCAGAAATGTTCAATAGCAATTCACCAAATTATTATGGCATCCATAAAACGTTTTAAGGTAAGATTTCAACTTTACTATTTTGAAATAGATAATTCCCGCGGCACGCAGTAAAACGGGAATGTATTGTCTTCTCGGTAAGGTATTTCCAAGGCTTATGAATTTTTGGCGCCAAAAATTGTAGTGGTAAATAGGTAGTTATATGAGTATTACTTCTAGCCTTGCTTTCGTACTGTGAACATCAAATTTTTCTCAGTGCTAGTTCGTCAAAATGGATCCCATGAACATTGAAACTAACGTTAAACGGATAGTTAGAGAAGAAATTCAAAAGTCTCAAAATTATTTTTTAAGTAAGCTAGACTGGATTTTCACATCAAGATTGCAGGCATTCGGCAACCAACAAAAAGAGCGTTCCGAGGCACAGATGTGTAAACTTCAAAGTGACATTTTAACGGCAGATACTTACAAATTCCAGAAAAAGAGCTGTGAAGACCAGTTCAAGTTCAACAAGAAGATGAAAGCGACACTCAAGGAAGCAGAATCCTGTTATGATCCTTCAGATGACAAGTCCGCTCACGCTAAGCAGAGAATTAGTGAAGGCATAGAACTTTTAGCTTATCGTCTAGTTAAAATGGCTGATTAGTCTGAACATGGTTAGAGAGTAGTCCATGAATACACTTCAAACCCACTGGCCGATGATTCTGAAGACGACAGGAAGATCATGAGGGCAACATCGCGTGCAGAAAGAAAGGCGAAGGCAGAAAAATCCAGAAAGAAGCGTCCAACTCCGTATTCTAGACCTTCAACTTCAGCAGACGATGTAACAACAGTGGTGGCGCTAAGTCAGTTAGGAGGCCAGGAGTGTGTTATAACTGTTATAAACCAGGGCATTGGCAGTTTGAATGCCAAGAAAAGAATAAGAAGTTAAGTACATATAGTAATTTATTGTCATATAATAATGCTTATAGAAATAGTAATTCTTTACGTTATTTCATTGATAAAAGTTTAACATTGAAAACTACTCGTTTAAACAAAGCTCACCTACTAGACTCCGGCAATGATAGTATTTGTTTACTCAACCGTGAGGGATGTGTAGATCAATTGTCTAGACATTTAAATATACCCAGTAAATTGGTCAGTCCTGTAGGTAAACTCAGATTATCAATATACAAATGGAAACAAGCGGGGGCGTCTGATTATATTTTACAGGTAATAGAAAAAGGTTACGGTATACCTTTTAAAAAACTTCCAGATAATGTATTTTTGAGTAATAATAGATCTTCGAGAGACAATGGGGATTTTGTTGAAAGCGAGATATCTAAACTATTAGAAAAATGTTGTATTTCAAAGGTTGATAATAAACCATTCGTTATTAATCCGCTTACGGTAGCTTTTAATAGATCACAAAAGCCAAGATTAGTGTTAGATTGCAGGCACATTAACAGTTGCATACACCAATTTAAGTTTAAATTTGAAGTTGCATCTGTGGCAAGAGAATTATTTGAAAAGGGTGATTATCTTTTTAGATATGATTTGAAAAGTGCATATCATCATATTGAAATAAGAGAGGAGCACAAGCAATATTTAGGTTTCAGTTGGGTTATTGACGGAGATGTTAACTATTTTGTTTTCAATGTTCTTCCTTTTGGTATTGCACGTGCAGGGCATATTTTTACAAAAGTTTTGAAAGAGGTGGTTAAGTACTGGAGAAACCAGGGATTAAAGATAATTATGTATCTTGATGACGGTTTGGTGGAGCTTGTGATTTAGCGTCTTTTAAAAGAGCTAGTGATTATATCAGAACGAGTTTGTCTGATTTTGGTGTAAATTAGCTGAGGATAAATGTATAAGGGATCCACAACAAAACTTGATTTGGATTGGTTTAGTGTGGGATATGTATTTAGTCAAAATTCAGGTTACTCAAGAGCGAGTGGTTAGGTTGTTATTAAGTATTGTAAAAATACTTGACGGTAAAGGAAAAATTTTGTACAGAACAAAATTACTTGCTTGTATTGTCGGACAAATTATTTCAATGCAAGTTGTTTTTGGAAGTCTGATAAGATTTAGGACAAGGGAATTATACCATTACATAGTTCTTAGAACTAGTTGGAAGTCACTGGTTGCCTTGACAGCTCCAGCTGTTGGTGAGCTTAGATTTTGGTCAAATTCAGTAAGTGATCTGAATGAGATAGGTGTGAATCTGCATGCGTCAGATTTATATGATCTTAAGGCTTATACGGATGCCTCAGAGATTGGTTTCGGGGGATTTGTAGTCCCTGTTGTTGATAGTAATAGTGCTGAGTTGGTCTGTGACTCGATAAATGTTCAGATGAGCAGTAGTCTGATAACGCGCAGTAATAGTTTGCACACTGTAGTGGGCAGTTGGGCAGATCATGTGAGGATCAAGAGTTCTATCTACATGGCGTGAACTCGAGGCAGTCAATAGAACAGTTAAAAGTTCTCTGTACTTGCTTACAAACCAGGCATTGCCTGAAAAACAGATCTTCAAGTTTTAGCTTGTGAATTGCACACATTATGCTTTGAAAATAATTGTACAATTACGCCACAATGGATCCCAAGAGACCAAATTAAAGTGGCAGACAGCCTGAGTAGATACTCTGATTGTGATGACTGGGTTATCAGTACTGAAGTGTTTAATAACTTAGATGTAATATGGGGTATTCATGTGGACAGATTTGCCACAGACTATTACACTAAATGTTCAAGATTTAATTCTAAATTTTGGTGTAATTGTTCAGAAGCAGTAGATGCTTTTAAACAAAATTGAAAACTTTTTTTAAGGCGAGAACAATTGGGTCATTTCACCGCCTAAATTGGT